TAAATGGAATAATGGAATAAATGGAATAATGGAATAATGGAATAATGGAATAATGGAATAATGGAATAATGGAATAATGGAATAATGGAATAAAATCACAATTACTATGTTCACAGCAGATGCTTATTCTCAAATAAACCATAATATGGTTTAGCACAGTGATGGCAAACCTATTTCACACATGTCAAAGGTGACATGCCACAAAGTTTTGGGTGACATACCAGCGTTCACCAACGCCTGATGACAACTATTCTCCTTATTTGAGTTACCAGAGAAACTCAGTTTGTTTTACTCATATTTCATTTGTGTAATTATTTGATGTTTCTTTATAAAATACATAGCACCACAAATGATTGGACTGTTTTTTTAAAAAAATAAATGAATATGTAGATAATTATTTCTCTTTTGTTCAGGGGAGGAATGTGACATGCCAGCAGAGTCAAGTTAGGCATTTTCTGAATTTTTGACACGCCAAGCCCAAAAGGTTCGCCATCACTGGCTTAGCATAATGGCCTAATTCATAAGATGCTAAGAGAACAGCTATGTTCCACAAGATGCAAAACTACAATCTACCTAACCCCATTTCAGCATGCTGTAGGAATCATGTCAGATAATAATGTAATTAATTGTATTTAATTCATTTAATTTTAATTAAAGTACATCTTAAAATTTTGTCCTGACTCCTACCCAGTTTCTGGAATGCAGCCTTAGTGGCCCGTGCAATGTGGCATGTGAACTAATAAAAAGTCTTGATTTACTTGGATTAGCCTTCCCAAAACCTTCACATTTAGGTTGGATTCTTATTATTCCTTTCCAGAACGGCCAGCAACTAAGAGCAGTGGGAACTGAAGTCCAACACATCTGGGTTGGGGCATGCTGACCTAAATAATCACTGACGATGTTGACAGAGGAACTGAAATCTGAGATATCTAGAGAGAATCGCTTAGGGCAGTGTTGTCCAAACTTGGCCACATTAAGATGAGTGGACTTCAACTCCCAGAATTCCCCAGCCAGCATGTCCAATCATCTTAAAGTGGCCAAGTTTGGACAACACTGGCTTAGGGGAAAGTTGCCACGGTGGCTGCTTCTCTTGTTGGATCTTATTAAATCTTGGGTGGGGTGAATCTCATACTTATTACCATCTGTATACCTAACTGGTTCATTCTAATTACTGTAACCACAAATACTTGTTTATGATTATTACTGAAACATCTATCTTCTTTGATTACAGCCCAAATGCACTGTAAGCACTTAAGGAAATGAATGGAGGATAAGTGGGAAAATATTGCAGGAGGCAGAAGAATGGATATGAGCAAGATAAAAAAGCTGAAAGCAGATGAAGTGTGGGGAGAAATGGGTTCAGCTGGAAAGCTGAAAATCAGCAAAGGTGGGAAGATTCCAGCCTGCCAGGATGG